CAGCAGCTGGAACCACAGGGGCTGTTTGGGGAGCAGCTCCCGCTGCAGCCAGGCCGTGCCACCTGCAGCCAGCTCCACCCCGGCCAGGCGGATCAGCAGGAGCCCCTCTGGCTGCCCTGCAAGGGAAAGGACACGTCTGCTGCTGGGGCACAGCTCAGCCTTGCACACACCCTCAGCTGCTGGCAATGAACTGATTCCTGTGCAATAAAACAATCCCCTTTGGTTCCTCAAGGCAAACGGGAATTTGGTCTCATCTCTTCTTCAGGGAAAAAAAAAATATCAATTCAAGGTTGCCTAATTCATAATTTGGATTATTGTGCGTGCAAAGAAAAAGATCTGTTCCCACTCTCAGTCCCTATCTTTCATCCACAGGGGCAGAAGCATCAGCACCTGCTGTTGTTTGCACAGCCAGTGTGAGTCACGGACTTGATGGACAGTTTGTTTCTGACAGAAAACTGTCCCCAAAAATCACTGTCTGCAAATAAAAGCACAATCCCAACAGAGGCTTTTTGCCAGGAACGAGATGAGCTGTGCAAGCAGAAGCACTGCCTGAGTGCTTACTTCTGCTGCTGGAAAATATCACAGTAACTGTAAGGATTAACACAAACACTGTAGTGACAAACTCTCTGTCTCCTCATGTCTTTTATTTCCCAGTTTCCCACCTGCAAAGCACAGAAAGACCAAAAGGCAGAGCTGGAAATGTGCCTCAGCCCTTCCTCTCAAGCTTGCAGCCACTCTAAGAGCAACACATTTCATTTCTGCCCTTGCTCTTCACACTCTTTTCCTCATTACTCACATTTTCTCAGGATGGCTGAGATGAAAGGAATGCTGATGGGAATGTGCTCAACTTCCAGCCCCTTCTCTGTGATGTGATGTAATTTCCCTCTCAGTTTCACATTCTTTTCTACAAACTCCACAGGTATTTCCAAAGGATTTGTGAATTTCGTTGTCTATTAATGGAAGGAAGAGAAAGAAAAAAATTTAAGAAAAAAATACAGAGCAGTTACAGCCACACTAAATCCAATGTCTCAAAATAGTCTGGGAAATTCCACCTTTATTATTACACACCATGGGCAAGTAAATATAGATATATATTTAATCAGCTGCACAAGCTGTGCCAGCCTCTCCACACTTACCATTTTCCCTGTTTTACAGGACTTGCAACGTCAGCACAGACATAAAAACCAGGTTTAGAGAAAGAACAGAAACTGCCGTTTTTAGAGCAATGCCTATTGAAGTTCATTTGATTCCCCGAGACAAGAGAGTTTTAGAAGCAGCCTGAATGGGGCGGGGAGAGGGGTGAAGGGAAGCCGGAGGACAGACACGCTGAAAACAAAGGCGGAGCAGGCAGGGCAGAAACAACCCCGCCTTTGAAACCAGGAGAGGGACAAAGGCAGGTGAACAGCCCTGAGAAGATCACAAGAAGATTAAATTTGATACTACAGCCTGGGAGGATCCAAAGGGGATGGTTATGTGATCACACAGGAAAACCAAGCTGAGCAGCAGCAAAGACTTGGGCTGTGGCACGGGAATGGAGCAGCCACAGGTCTGGGGTGAGGCAGAAGGACACGTGAGACCCCAAAAAATTAAGACCCCCAAAATTTAAGACACCGTAAGAGGCCTTATCAGAGCACTGACCTGCAGAGCTGTGAAACTGTGGGAAATAAACCCCCAAAACACCACAACTAAAGCTGTGCCTCCTGTGTGTCATTTATTCAGCAAAACTCCCCCTCTGCGGCCCACAGAGAACACGGGAATTTGGGACCTTTTTGGGTCCCAAAACCTCCTCCAGGCAGGAAACCTGGAGGGTTTTAGGAACAAAAGTTGCTCAAAGCTGATCGATCTCATTTGCTCCACCAGCCAGGTTAATGCATTCACAGGCACTTGGGTCAAAACCAACAAAACAAAAAAAGGCAGAGAAAAAGCAGCTTGGCAACATTTATAGTTCAGGTTTTCTGGTAGGATTTTTAAGTAAAAACGCCACACAAATGTTCTCCAGTACTATTTGGAATTGTGCAGGGGGAAGATGAAGGTAAGTGTGATTTTTTGAGCAGCTGGAACCCCGTGGGAGCACGGTGCCTCCTGCCCGTGGAGGTTCAGCTTCTCCAGGAGTGAGCAGCGCGGTGTTAGCCCAGCGTGCCCTGACCATCCTGGCAGTGAGGGAAGATTTGGGTGCTGTTTTAAACCATTCAGAAGCAGTTCTGCGTGTGAAGGACAGAGAATACCCGAGGCAAGCAGCTGTTTCAGCTGTGTTTGGACAAGGGAGGGTGCTCGAGCTGCAGTGGGACAGGCAAAGGGGTCATTACCCCTCCCAGGGGCCTCAGGAACAGGCGAGAACAAGGGACCCGTGGAGATGCCACAGGACAGCGATATCGCGTCCCTCAGGACCTGAATCAAACAGTGCTGGCTTTTTTTTCACTTGTTAATCAGTAGCTGTAGCAGGACCGTTATGATTAAGCAACCGCATTGTGAACCTTGCACGCTTGGCTAATCTTTAGTTTTAAGGAAAAGGGAAGACAATGCCAAGATGAATGGGCTGTCTGGGCGGGAGCCACCAGCCGTGGGGGCAGCCGGGCTGAGCCGTGCCGGGAAAAAGGCAATTCCAGCAGGGGGACAGCGCGACTGCTGAGCACTGACCACTGAGCACTGACCGGCCATTGAGCACTGACCATTGAGCACTGACCACTGACCGGCCATTGAGCACTGACCACTGAGCATCAGCCACTGACCACTGAGCACAGCACTGACCACCCTGGCCAGAGGGACCCCGCGCTCCGGCAGAGGGAAGGGCTGGGGCTGATCAGCACGAGAAACGACAAACACAGCTGACACAGAAAGGGCTGAGTT